TTTCACAAACCTGTCATATACTAGTGTTCATTCCTTCATGTGTAATGTTTTCTCATAATCTGTGATGCAGTCATGATTTTGTGCCATGATGCTGTATGAAGTACAGGCTCAAGCTGAGTAGATAATGATTCAGGGACATAGGAAAAGTTGCTAAGAAGGGATTCTAGTGATTACCAAGTATAAAATGAAAGGCCTACCTATAATGAAGAAAGGTTAATTTTTTTGAACTTTTTTCTTCTTAAATATTTATTACAGTAATTAAGCAGAAATCCAATACGCTGTATACTTGTAGATGAGCTGAAAATTTAAAGTGCCAAAATACATTCAGAAAACTGAGTTCAGCTTATCCATGGATAAGTTTATCTGCAAGTATGTATAGTAATGTATGTTTTTAAATGCTTGTGCAGATAGTCCTTGAGTTATGACCATTTGTTCAGTGACTGTTCAAAGTTACAATGGTACTGGACAAAAAGAACTTATGACCAATCCTTGAAGTTCTGGCTGTTGTTGTGGTCACATGAACAGAATTCAGATGCTTGGCAACCAGCTCATACTTATGACTAGTTGCTGTTACCAACCTTTTCTGCTACCTTCCCACAAGCAAAGTGAATGGGGAAGCCTTCAGGGAAAGTCATAAGTTGCAAGTTAAGTCTCCCCAGTTGGCCTTTCTTCGCTGACATGTACTGCACACTCTGTTGTTGCTGTTCACACACAGAGCCTTCTTTCCCTGGCCTCCCTCCCTGTGCCAATTAACGACCTGCATATCTTGCGGTTACACCAACCGATATCACTTGCATTGTCATCCTAAGTGATGCAGTCATGCAACATCATGCTTTACTTTTTGCTGTATTTTCAGACTTGCAAAATTCTGTTAATGTGTCGTTACATCAAAGTAGAAATAGTTCACCTGGGCATTCTTTCATTTGGTACTACTTCACAAGGTTGGCATATATCCCATATATATTCACTTATACACCCATCCACAGCTAAACTGATGCTCATATTTTTAATCAGGTGTATCATGAAAAATATCTCTCATAGATAAACCATTTATGAAAAGTAAAACATGAAAATTTCTAGGTTGGTTTATCTGCAAATGGGCTTATGTTCCAGAGCTGCATGACTGCAACATGGGCAGTAAGTTTAATAAATATATAAAAGCATTCAATTTTGATATATAATCAAGGGTACTTCCGCCCACACCATATAATGGGCTCAAGGCTTTCTATGCTGGCATCAGAGAAATGGTTGCCACATGTGCCCTACTATTGCTACAGGCTTCTGCCTATTGCTTTTGATCTTACTAATCTTATTAAATTGTATCTGATCCAAATTCTTGTTATATACATAATTATGATTACATGCAGACAATTCTATGATTTCATGTAGACCCAGTACAAAAATTCTGTTGGATTGTAGGGATGTGTGCCTCAGGTTCAGTATTGGGCCACCACAAATATGAACTTGCCAATAAGGATAGATTATCTTTCTTACATTATAACCTGGTTCAGGTAAGGTTATATAAGTATGATCTCTCCCCACCTTAAAACGTCTAAGTGCTTAGATACAATTAACTAAAAGTTTAAAATTACTGCCCTGCTGTTCTCTCCCCACATGTAATCTGAGATATTAAGTCCTGAATAACATTGAGCATATTCAGTAGTATTATTGGTAGAGCGAAGTCCCTTTACCAAATGAAACAATTTTTTTTAAGACAAACTGGGATAGAGATTATGAAGTTGCTACCTCCTATTTTGTATTAGTTGAATTTTGTTTTAGCTTTATAGCAGAATAAATGCCACACATATGCCCTTTAAAACAAATATCCAGCATCTGTACTCAAATTGCAAAGCAGCACATACTCTTTGTAACAGTTCACTTATTGTTTTTTTTTAAGGACCATAAAATGTGATTTTTCTTAACCTTGGTTGGAGGCAGACAATCACATTCAGCAAGGTTTTTCATTCTCAGAAATGTTCCTATCTTCAAATATTTCAAGGAACTCCAACATTGTAGAGGATTTGGAGGAGAGTTCTAGGTTATGCATTCAGTTTGTGTACTTATCAAGGCTGTTAAGCTCCTTCCATGAGTCAAGAATGTTAGATAGTTGTTGGCAAGCTATCTTTCAAGGAACCTGTCCCGCATTAATATATTCTCATTGCTCTTAAATAATTTTAAATCATACATAAAAATAGTGAGCACTTGTTTCTGCTGTTTGATGGGTGTAAATTAAGGGTCTATAATCCACTATCAATTAATAATGAAGCCTTCAGGAACAAAAGGTTGAAAATGAAGGAACAAAAACCATAGACAAATGGTTCTCAGTGCATTAAATCCTATGTTATTGCCATGAGCCCCAAATAATCAAAGGAAGTAGCATTTGCAATTTTATCATATATGAATATTGATGGAGACTATGATAAATCTATAATTATTTACACCTTCCAGTTAATTTTAAATATTATAGTTAAGTCAAGATTTCAACAGACTTTCCAAAATAGCATTTAATAATCAGAATTTCCTCCGCATAGAAAATGACATTAAAAAAATGCAATAATAAAAATGAGGCAAATGTTTATACCAAACAAATTTATTTATATGTAAAAACCAACATATAGTTTAAAATACTTTTCAAGAAGCTAAAACATATTACTGTACAGTATACTCCTTACCCACCTGTCATAGGAAGCAGTCTTTACACAAATTGTTCATAGTGAAAGTAAAGGTCATATATTTACATTTAAAAAACCAATCTAAACTGTTGCAATCAAGATTTAAACATGTGGCTTTCCTATCTTAATTTTTTAATGCTTGGTTGGACAATACTGAGGGATTTGAGTTGTTGTGAATAAGTAAACATTCTTTTGAAAATTATTCTTTTTAGTCATGTGATAGCAAACTTTAGAGTTAGCACATTTCTTCAATATAACATATACAAAAGAAAAAAAGACAATGTATCCTATACTGTGCCACATGTTTGGGCAATTCAATATATATGGGGAATTTATGACTGACAGCATACTGGTTTTAATGCCAACTGATAAAATGGACCTAGAGCGAATACTGTATCTTTTTACTCAAATGCAGACACAATATTTAAAGCAGCGGTTCCCAACCTTTCCGGTTTTGTGGAAGTGGAAGCAGTGGGATGAGTGCACTTGCGTGCATGCCCACCACTTGTGCATGTGGAGCTGCGCATGCTTGCACACTGCTTGTGCAGCCCAGTTCCAAACAGGCTGTGGCTCGGGGGTTGGGGACCCCTGATTTAAAGGATCAGTTGTATTATGTTTGCTTATCACCATCCTGCATACATTTTCAAAAATTCTTGCAAATGAAAGAGAGTCTCTATTCTCTACATATGACACTGTTATCTGGAATTATACAGTAGCAAGCTTTTCATGAAGCTTCCCTTTTGAAAATCCTATGTGCTGTTACTTAGAACTTGCTTTTTCAATTAAAAAGAATACTATAGAAACTGAACACATGACAAACTGACCAATAAAGAATTGCATGTCTGTAATATGATGCTATATAAGGAATATCAGTTAAATATTTCTTACTATTTCATGGATCTTGTGTGCAATTCTCAATCAACCAGCTGCAAGTTACAATAATGTAACTTGCTCTAAATTTGAAAAACAAGAAAACAAGAATGCAATACAAAGAAAATACAGTTAGTGTTATCTCCATTGTATCTTAGGGCGGCATTATCCAAGCTGGCTGCCAGAACTGTATGCTAAAACAATCAGATTTCTTAATTAGCTGGTGGAAATGTAAGGATTTTTATTTTGCAGAGTACTAGGTTAAGTGAAAGCTGCCTCATATTTCATTAATGCACAGAATCTAAGAATAGGTAGACTAACCAGATAATACCTTGGAAAAATCAATTTATTTAGAATGCATAGTCCTAAGGCCACAGTTTAATCTATCAGCACAGAGATGGCCATATACTGCCAATGCCTGATCCAGATGCATATAGAGTGCTGAGCTGTGCAATTTTTCAAAATACTGGTCAAATGTCAGTGTTAAAATATAGAAGACAGGAAGTATTGGTTGGTAAACAGATGCATATGTATGTTGGAAGTCTATGGAGTCTCAGTTCATTTCCTATGACAAAATATAACAGTGCAAACAAGGGTGCTTCTCCTAGCTGCTTTCAGTGTTATTCCACTAACATGAAAAGAGGTAATGAGTTGGCCAAACTCTTGGGAACTAAAGCAACTCTTTAAAATACTGTACTACTGATTCCTATTATATGATCAAGAATGTTACGTTTCTAGAGTGGCTTATACATCAAACAGGACTCATACTATCTCAGTCCATAATGTTATATACCCACTGAAGCAAAAGGAAATGATGCTTACTATTAGAATTCTTTTCTTTGTGGTTTGTATATACATACAACATTTAAAAAGACCAGAAGTATTTAAATTCTGTGTTCAAGAGTTTCTAAAACCATCCCTTTCTGCTTCTCATCAAATAATGCCCTTTACTGTGTAACTGTTACACAGAAAACAGGCATGAAATTCAACACAGGTACTTAAAAAAAATTTATAATACGAAGAGCAAGTCAAATTACCTTACAGGTATAACACATCTATATCAAAATACTTCACCCTTTTGGATGAGTGCCAAAATTGGTGCTCTCTGTAAATTTGTATCAGATTGGAGTTTTTTTTCTTAAAAGGAAATGTGTCAGCACCTAAAAGATCTAGAGAAATATCAGGCACTAAATTGCTTCCAATCATCTGTGAATGAAAAGCTCTACCTAATATGAATTATAAAAACCAAGCTATAAATGCTAAAAAAAGATTAAAATTAAGCACCAAATAGAAATATAAAAGTGGTGCAATGAAGACCTATTTCTACTAAAATAATAATGTTCATCCTCTGCCTAAAGGAATGCAATCCTGTGAACAAGTGACAGACTTATAATCAAACAGTTTTTTTTTTGTGGCAGAGGCTCTTGGTAGACAGGCTTCCAATATAAATGTGTGTCTGTGTGTGTATCTCTGTCACAAACAGACACAGAGTTCATTAGCTGTCCAAATCAGGTATGATTTACTTGTACCCATGCTCACAATTTTAATGATTTTGTTTTTTTAAAAAAAAACATAAATTAAACATTCCACACACGTACAACTTACAAATATTCTCAATTCCTTATCAGGGCAACATCCATGAGATCATCATCTTCCTCCCCAATTAAGAAATCAGGGCTGGGCCTAGATGGTCTATCTGATGTAAGGATGGCACTGCTTGTCATAGACAGGGACTGTTCTGAAGAGATGGGAGATTTAGACCAGTTTTCTGGCTTTATGCTGTGAGATTTCTTTTTGTCTCTCTCTTTGTCACGATCCCTGTCACGATCTTTATCTTTCACTTTCTTCTTTTCCTTTTTGTGTTTCTTATGCTTTTCTGAGCTATATTCTGGAAGAGGCCTAACTCCATCATCAGAGCTGGGGCTATTCTGATAGGATTTTTCTGCTATAGATGATCCAGATTCACTCTCACTGTCAATATTTTGGGGTGTATATGCAGGTGACTTACTATGGCTAGGAGAACAACGCTCATGCTTTGGAGTTGATCCACTTATCAGGGGTGATCCATAATTTTTGGAAGATGACATCTGAGGCCTTAAGCCATCCCCACTTCCTTCCCCAGGTTTTTGCAAGGTAACTTTGGCTTTAATACTAGGAGAACCGCCATCATGTTTACTAATTATGATTTTGGCCACTCCAGTGCTTCCAACACTCTTTGAATCAGATGCTTTCTTGGAAGATTCAGTGGAACCTCCTGAAGCAGGGATTTTGGATTTCTCCTTGTCAGTTCTTTCTCGTTTCCCCTGCAATTCATTTCCTGACAGATTGTGCTTGGAGGACATGGAGTGGCCTGATGAACTGGAATTCTGGACCATCTGTCCATCCACTGAATCTTCCCCTGTGGGGCCACTGGTGACCACCCCATGTTTGAGTTTGTCAATGACAGCAGTCAGAGATGGCTTTTTGTTTCGGCTTGGAGACTTGCCTTTGGAACTCCCATGCTGATTCTGAGATGAAGACATGGAAGAGCTGCCGGATGAAAAGGAAGATGAAGATCCCATTGAAGAATTTGAAGAAGGAGGCGGCTTCTGGGACATGGAACTGGAAGATCCCATCCCTGAAGATGACTTCATGCTTGAACTTGATCCTGTCCCAGGAATGTGTGAACCTCCAGAGCCGGAACTAATAGGGGACTTTGCTTTAGATGACGGGGGAGTACCTGGAACAGGTTTCATCGGAGAGGCCAGCTTGTCAGAACCGCCCGAGGGTCTAGAATGAGAAGGAGAAATGTTTGGTTTACTCATGGAAGGGTTCATAAGCGACGAAGGCTTCCCTTGAGGTTTGATCTTGGTACCTCCAGAGCCGCTGCTGAGGCCGTGTTTTGTGATGGGGGAGGACCCAGGCTTGCCCACTGATTGGGTGGAGCTTTTGGACTGACCTGAACCAGAGCTGCCTTGGCCTGAGTAGAGGCTGCCGCTCATCTTGGACCCCGAAGACCCATCCGACTTGCTGCTCTTTATTTTGCCTGATGTCGAGGAGGAAGACGAAGAGGATGACGATGACGAAGAGGACGAAGAAGAGGAGGAGGAATGACTGTGATGACTTTTGCTGCTCAAAGAAGAGACTGAGCCACTGCTTGTGTATTGCCCATGGGAAGGTTTGCCAACAGTCACTGTTCCCTTGGGAATCTGGATGGTGATTTTAGGGATGGGAGGAGTAGCTACCCCAGGGGGTGTTTGAGACCTGCCTGAACTTCCAGGAGATTTTGAGCCACCTGTGCTTGCTGGTGGGGTGAAAGGTCTGGTGGATGTACTATGAGAAGGAGACTTGCCTTCTGGCTCCACCTTCCTCCGCTTCTGGACCTTTTCTTTACTCTTTCCATCACTGGATGGGGTGCGATTGCGTTTTCCACCCTTGCCATCCAGCCCAGGGCCCGTTAAAGAACTCCCAGATCCATTACCCTCTTTGACCCGCTTCTGTGATTTCTCTTTCCCCAATTCTCCCATACTCAGTAAGGGGCTCTGGCTTCCACTATGATGCTCCAATACATCAGAGGCTCCCAGAGCCTTGCTGGTAGCTGTGATAATACTAAAGTCGACTGTGTCCGCTTGGCTGATTGCCTTGAACTTACTCTCCCCTCCATCTCCCCCCAGTACTTGCACACCCAGAGTACTTATCGTTTGTGGTGCAAAGCCCTTGAAGTCATCAGCGTCTCCGCTCTGGCTGCTATCATCAAAATAGTCTTCTCCAAAACCGCTTTGGCTCTGGCTGTTCAGGAGATCAGGGTTGAAGTCAACTCCATCTGGGAAGAACTGATTTGAAGAGTCACTGTTTGGGCTTACAGTAGCATCAGCAATCAAATCAGCTGGATCAGTATATGGATTTTCACTGTTGTTTGACTGAAAAACATCTGGATCAAAAAGGGCACTTTGGGAATGCCCTGAACTGGATGAGTCCCTTATTGGTGTCCCAATAGGAGGACAATCTTCATTGGTATTCGGCAGTTTGGATGCTTCTTCTGCTATATCAGAAAGAATATCTGTAACATCAGCACCAATGCTGTCTGAACTGGAGAGCCGGACCATTCTCTGAATACTGGATTGGGCATGAGGTATAGACTGTGGATAGGTTGTTGGAGGGGTGCTGCACTGACTGGGTGCTGGAGTAATATGAGGAGTATCTAAGGTGTCAGTGGTCATGTTGACATCAAATATGGGGTTCTGGGAATCAACATCCATAGAAAACAGCTCTCTCTGAAAGTCATCTTCAGTCTGATGCTTTGGTTTATCCACCAACACACGTGATTTTTTCTTTTTTTGCTTATTGCCCCCTGGTCCCATTTCCATCCTTGGAGAGCCAGAGGAAGAGTTCTGTCTCTCAAGTGGACTGCTTCCATAAAGAGTTGAGAAATCTTGAGCAGCATTGTCCTTCAAAAGATTCATAAGCATTGGATGGTTTTTGGTGTTGCTTGCAGGAGATGACACAGGGGGAGGTGTGTGGTGTGGAGGAGTGGGACTAGAGCCAATGGTAGAGCCTACATTGCCTGTGATTTGTAGCAAACTTGTAAGAATGGGGTTCTGAGACACTTTGCTGAAGTCCTCCCCATGTCCCACTGAATCATGCCGTTCTTTGATGCCCATGCTCATACTGAATAAAGTGGAGATGGGGCCGCCAGGGAAAGTACTGGTTGGGGTGGTGGTGCCACTCATTGGGTTGTTGCCAGTAGTCATGCCATATCCTGGGCTGCTTGCAGGTGGCAGATTCTTCTTCACCATGTCTTCAACTGTCTCAGCAATGAGGGACAAAGCTGGTGTGTCTGCTTGGATTGTCTCTGCCTTCCTCCTTATGGCTCTCATAGTCACAGGAATTGACATGCACCTACAAGATACAATGTTGTAAAAAGATGATTTAGTACTATTATTTAATAATTTTCTTGGAAAAGCACAATTACTTTTACCACAAAAAGATGTGAACAATAGTGGGTCTATCTTTGCATTTTTAACTGAATATAATTCAGATGCTTTATGAATAGTATATAAGTATATACACTTAAAGTTTTCTTCTTTAGAACTATAAAAGGCAATACATAACTGAATGATAAATGAAGACCAACTAAGCATTATTTTCAATTCAGGGCAGTAGCATTCTTTGAAGCACAGATGGAGGCCTTTTTCTAATAATTTTTCCCACTCCTTCCAACTATTTTTTTTAATTCCCCTTCTCTCAATTAACAAGCAAACAAAACAAGATATACTGATTTGTTTAAATAACAATATAAATTATTACTGTAACAAAATGAAGTTAAGTATGGCCCACAATGTGCCACAATTATTTTAGATTATGTTAAACTGAGGGACTGGATACAATTCAGAACATTATGTCCTCCTATACTGTGCTCTATTGCAATTTATGATAACAAAAATAAGCACCTGAAAATAGTTACAAGTAGTCCTTGACTTACAGCGACAATTGAGGCCACAATTTTTGATGCTAAGCTAGATTTATTAAGTGAGTTACACCAGATTTTGACTTTTTGTTGTTAAGAGAATTACTGCAGTTGTTAAATGAATCATGAATCCAGCTTCCCCCATTGACTTGTTGGAAACCCATTGAGAAGGTTTCAAATGGCAATCATATGACCCTATGACATTGCAACGGTTATAAATACAGGATAGTTGACAAATGCCCAAATTCTGATCACGTGATTGTGGGGTTGCTATGGTCATAAGTGTGAAAATCGGTTATAAGTCACTTATCAGTGCTGTTGGAATATAGAATTGTCACTAAATGAATGGTTGTAACCTGTGAACTATATGTACTTTAACTCTCCATATTATTTTTGTTTCAAAGGAAGAGGCACTATAACAACATCATTGCCATAATTCTTGGTTCTCAGAGGTAATTTGATAAAAATACAATTAATGTGTAGTCCCTAGCTAAAATAAGTTGGCCAACCCTGAATAAGATAAAAATATGAGATATTCAGATCAAGGGTTATACACATTTTCTTCTACATGAAAGTGTTGATATCTGATTAGATTCCACAGGCATGTTATAGGTAATCCTCAACTTATGACCATTCATTTAGTGATTGATTGAAGTTACAATGACGCTAAAAAAAGTGACCTATGACCATTTTTCACATTTATGATCTTTGCAGCATCCCCATAGTCATGTGATCAAAATTCAGATACTTGGCAACTGATTCATATTTATGACGGTCACAGTGTCCAGGGGCATGTGATAACCTTTTGTGACCTTGTGATCAGCTAAGTCAAGGGGAAAACAGATTCATTTTATAATCGTGTTTCTAACTTAAGAACTGCAATGATTCACTTTTGTGGCAAGAAAGGTCATAAAATGACACAACGGTCTCACTTAGGAACAGAAATTTTGGGCTCAATAGTGTCCATATGTCGAGGACTACCTGTACACTATCATACACTGAACAAGCTAGTGGCCCAATTCATACACATTTCTAAGCTGTAAACCACTGCTTGCAAACTATATTGCCTGGATGCAGTGGTGGGATTCAAATATGTGAACAACCGGTTCTCTGTGTGGATGCCGCTTCCGGAAGTCCATTCTGGGCCTGGGCAACAAAAAATTAGCTACCAGTTCTACCAAAGTGATGCAAACCAGCTGAATCCCACCACTGCCTGGATTGTTATGGGAAGCCATAACAAAACAAAGTACATTATATCTTAATATAGTATATGAATCTAGCCAATCTTCTTGTGTAGCTTTGAAAAAATTAGGCAAAGTAAATTCAGAATAATGTTGCAATGAGTGAGGCTTTTTTTGGTATTGTAGTAGCATCTGAAAAATAGCAGAAAACAGAAAAACAATAAAGAAAGATTTATGGTGAAAGTTATTTGAATATATCTCTGAATAATCACTTTTATATTTTACTAGTTTCAAGTCATCCATTTTTTTTGTTTAAGCAGACATACCTTTGAACAACCTTTGCAATGAAATCATCTGTGCAGATGAGTGCATCAGAAAGCCCTTTGTACAATTTGCAGTTCACATGGGTAGAATCTTGTACATCCATTACCACTGAAAGACAGAATGTTACTGAAAATAAGTCAATTTTCAGCCAATGTCAGTTTATTTATTTGTATCCTGCCTTTATTATTTTTTTGTAAATAACTCAAGGCAGCAAACATATCCAACATACCTTCCTCCTCCAATTTCTCCCACCACAACAACCCTGTGAGGTGAATTGGGCTGAGAATGTGACTGGCCCAAGGTTACCCAGCTGGTTTTGATAGCTAAGGTGGAATTAGAATTCATGATCGCTGTTTTCTAGCCTAGAGCCTTAGCTACTAGACCAAACTGGCTCTCAGTTTATATACATATATCTTGCCCCAATCCTCCTCTCTCCTGTAACTCACCACAAACTAAGGAGTCATTAACAGGGTGCTGAAAAGATACACTGAAGCAGGAGTCAGAAAGAGGGCAGACTTCAAACTGCAGGATGCCAGGGGAATCTGAAAAAAAAGAACACAACTTGGTAATATAGCCAAAAGAAAAATACTTGTTAAAGTATGGATGGATATCAAATAAGCCTTTGAAGTTATAGAGAACTCTATTCACTGTACAATGAAAATCAAGGAAATAAGAGACATTCATGTTTTTATTTGCAACTCAATTATGACATGAAAATAGATTTGAAGGCAAGGTCAGATAATCTGTTGTCTTCATAAAAAAAAACTAAATTGAGAGCTAAATTGGGGGCTTTTAAATTTGATTTAATGGAAGATCTTCCCAAATAGAATTGGTTTTAGGGAACAACAGAACCATCAGTAATACTGCAGTTCTTTAACTGGTTATTAACTGTTGTTTGCTTGTTGTGTTCTGAAAAACTGAAAAACTTTGCATTGTTTATTATTTTAGTTGACACTACTATGATTTTTTCTCTCTCATAGACAGATCATAGCTAAAATTTAGTGATTTAGCCAGTCTCACTTATTCCAATAGAACTTATTTCTGAGCATGCACTTTTAGAATTAAATGCTATTTTTTTTCAAATGCTCCTTTCTTTAGAGGTTTGCACATTTTTGTGGGAATACCGGAATCGACCAACTCCCTTTATGATAGATTGCCTTGTCCCCTGCATAGAACAAAACTGTTCTACTCATCGTAGCTGCCTAAATCATATACGTATATGTCTATAGAATATTACATATATATTTGTTGTCATTTTAGGCTTTTATTAGTTTTTACTCTATTTGCCTATTTCTATTAAATTCAGTTGCTCTTGGAAACAATTTAAAGGAAAAATATGCAAATGAAAGTGAAAGATTTGTTTAATCTTGGTAAGAGAACCATTCCTGATGATAAAAAGACAGCTAATATTTTTTTAAAAAATTCTGAAATCTTTTTGAGAATGAACAGGATATCTATAGGACTATTGCAACTGTTTTTCCCCCCTGCTGTTTGCTCTTACCCATGACTCTCATTTATATATTAGCCAAGATCAAGAAGGTCAATGATGAGACTGACAAGAGTTGCAGTCTAAAAATATTTTAACAGCCACATGCTACCATTTGTAACTTAACCTATCTCACAAAGTTGCTGCAAGGCTATAGTGAAAAAATCCTAAACTCGTCGATCTGGATTCTTTGGAGGAGACACAACAAATCCTCCTAATTGTAATTTGATTTTATTTATCTTACTTTTAATATTTCCTGAAAGTATCTAACATATTCTGTACTCACTTCATGCCTCTAGCAAAGACGTAAACATACTAGGGAGAATACTGATATGCTAAATTTTATACAAAATTAGTTTTACATTCAACATGCTGAAATCATGGTTGAAAATCTTTGTAATTACTGTCTACAGACATGTCAATACTGTTCTAATTTTATCTAATTTTCTCTTATACTACAAAAGATATTTTCAGTTTCCTCTGGAAAAAGACAATATTACATAAAAATCCAGTTTATGCCTGCTTGTACTAATCCTGTAATTTAAAATTTTCAAGGTCTTTTGAATTGGTTGGTGCCAAATCAAATCAAACAACTAAATAAAGTTTATAAATCCAGTATTGGATTTCAGATAGACCTACAACCTACTATAATTCTTGAGAGGAAAGATGCACAATAGTCCTTGACTTATGACCACAATTTAGCCTAAAATTTCTGTTGTTAAGCAAAACAATTGTTAAGTGAATTTTGCCCCATTTTATGACCTTTCTTGACACAGATGTTTTAAGTGAATCGCTGCATTTGTTAGTAACATGATTAAATGAATCTGACTTTGATTGTCAGAAGGCTGCAAAAGGTGATCACGGGACTCTGGGACACTGCAACTGTCATAAATATGAATCAGGTGTCTGTGTCTGAATTTTGATCACGTGACTATGGGGATGCTGCAACAGTTTTAAGTGTGAAAAATGGTCATAAGTCATTTTTTTCAGTGCTGTTATAACTTTGAATGGTCATTAAACGAACTATAGTAAGTTGAGGACTACTTGTACAGGATAACAGCATCACAAATTGTTTATTAGAAATATATGTTGACTAGCAGAATGACAAATGCAGAAGAAGAGCATACTTGCATCTTCTATTTTTCTAGAACAAGGTATCTGTAAAATAAGTGTGCCTGATTTTTTTAAAGTGGCTTATGAAATAAAAATAATATTTATGTTTAAATCAGTGTATGCATGCACACATGTTCACCTTCTCTTTTCAACTTGACAATGCCAGTAACTAAAGTGTCTTTCAAAAGCTCTTTGGTGCTTCCTTTTTAAGTGCGTGGGACTCACCTTCTTTTAAAACGGTTCGCTTGACACAGCTGCCTATTAGTGTATTGTAGGCCACCTGATGCCTGATCATACTGAGAATGAGAGGCACTCGACTAGGATGGTGGAAAGCAATTTTATTAAGCAGTGTTCCTTGAAGGCTTCGTCCATCTGGCAATGGGGCATCTTTGTTGAGGAAATAACAATGCTGTTGTCCTGGCAAGGCCTGGAATTGGAAATTCATGAACACATATCACATAAAACATGGGGGAATATTACAAAAAAAATGCCTTTGTAAGGAATAGCCTTACAAAGGTGAACTGAATCACCTTTAAAGGCAAAAGTTGTTTCAAAGTTGATTTTCTCTAAAAGTTACACTTTTAAAAATATTTAAATTACACCATTCCCCAAAATTCAAAGTATCTTACAAAGAAAACATACCAAACTAATCATGTTAGAACCATTCAGATATTTAGCATACATCTCTAGGAACTGTACATATTTGCTGGAGTAAAGGGGATATATTCCAATGGTGAACTACTTAATCCTGGAATGTATATAGTAACAAATGTTTTGTCCATTTAATAACATGGGACAAAATAATAATGCTGAAAGCATCCTTTCTCAATCAGCAAATATTCCCAGACTACAACTCTTATCAAGCTCAGCAATCAGCACCAAATATTGGGGATCATTACAAAAATTCTAATTTATAATTACCTACACAGAGACTGCAAAAGACTGCTTTGATCTACATTTGCTCACTTTGTTTACATCCCATTACAAAGTTTACTTATAGTTTATATTCTTATACAGGGATAACATTCAGATTTATTACTTTTTATAGACATTTTAAAATAAAATTAAGACTTAACATGTCAAATTTTAACTGACTCTTCTGGGAATAAATTGATACATAATGCTTTAAATCCAAAAGAGTCAAGAAAAGGCTTTTTTCTAGGTTTGCCCATGTCAGAAAGGAATTATTCTTTAATTTCCATATCAAGTAAATAATGTGACATCAAAAAATGATAAATAGACCTTTTATCCTAATTTAGATTGCATACTACTTATTTGGCAAGAAAAAAGCTTATTAAAGATAAGGTTCAACTAAGTACTGTAAACAGAAGTAGGCACATTATAAATGAAGTGCCAAACATTTTTTTTAAAATCTTAAAAGATCTTTAGAGTTACGAGCTTTCAAAATGGCTGTTGAAAGAAGTGACAAAGAGAGGAAGTTAGAATAAACCCCCCCTAAAAACAGAAAGTGAGAGATGGTCTGTAGAACCCCTTGGAAAGTTACAGCAACACACCATAAAAATGCATGGCTTGAATTTGAAAAAAAATTAAGTCCTATACAGGATTGATGTTGCGGGAGATTTTTCTAAATTTTGTTATCTTCATTATGTCAATGTTACATCATAGCATTATAACAAGAAAATGATAGGTCAACAAGAATGTGATGAAGACGGAAAAAATGTCCTTAACCATTTCTATTTTCCTATAACTATTCCAGTTTGGAAAGCATAAAGATTATTTTTTCTCTATTGCTGGAGCACTGAAGATCTTTAAAATGCAGATCTACTGAGCTTTGTTCCGAGATAGAAAGCCCAATTGGCAACATTTGTAACAGTATGAAATTGAAACAAGCATTAAAAAAGGGTAATGTTTATAATGCTTGCTAGATACTTCTCAGGTACATAGAAATAGATAATTCTATAGATAAAAAAAAAACCTAAAACCTATTATCTAGAAAGGGATTTTTCAGATTTACCAATATAGAGGTGTTATTGTTGTTACATGTTACATGTAAAATGGATTGTAGCCCCATATACATCTATGAGAAGAAATCCTACTGAATTCTGTGGAGCTTACTCCAAGGTAGGTATATTTAGGATAAGTTAAGAGAAGATTAATCACAGAATGCTGAAAATAAAAGGTAAAAGAGAGAGAAGGAGATAGGAAAAGAAATTAGCTTAAAGGTAGTCTTTCGGTTATCATTTGTTTAACATCATTCAAAATGATGATGGCACTGAAAAAATGAACTTACAACAGTTATGGCCACTGCAGCATTCCTACAGTCATGTGATCAAAATCTGAGTGGTTAGTGACTGATCTGCATTTACAAATATTGCAGTGTCCTGTGGTCACATTTTCTTGCCCTGTGCGAACTGACTCCATTTCAACTCCCCCCACCAGCTTATCTCTACCCCCAATCTGTGCCCTTTTCAGTCACCCTGCAAGCATGGCCAAGATAAGAGGCTGTTATATTCTGCCACTGCCTCGCCCCCATGCATGATGTGAAGGATGGCCAAAAGAGCAGAGACAGCCTAAAGTTCTAGGCTAAGAACTGCATGGTCCTAGCCCAGGGGTAGGCAACCTTGGCTCTTTTATGACTTGTGGACTTCAACTCCCAGAATTCCTGAGCCAGCCACGCTGAGGAGAAATGGAGAGGTTTCTAAGCTGAGCCATGCTGGCTCAGGAATTCTGGGAGTTAAAGTCCATGAGTCATAAAAGAGCCAAGGTTGCCTACCCCTGTCCTAGCCTAACAATCACAAGCTGGATTGCCAGAACTGCCTTTGCTAAGTGACATAGTAATGTGATGTTTTCCTTAACAACTGCTTTGCTTAATAATGGAAATTCTGGTCCCAATTAGGGTTATAACCTACTTTGTTTCCCCAAAAATAAGACCTGGTCTTATAATATTTTTGGCTCCAAAAGACGCATTAGAGCAGAGATCCCCAATCTTTTGGGCACCAGGGATCGGTTTTTCCACGAGAGAGGTTTTTCTGCGGACCGGAGGGGGCATGGTTTTGTGTGCTGCCTTCATCCTGTGGATGGGGCTTTGCTTGTGTGGCCCGGTTGCTGGCATGCTGCGGCCCAGTACTGGTCCATGGACCAGAGGTTGGGGACCCCTGCATTAGGACTTATTTTTGGGGAAACACAGTATCAGGGTGATCAGCCCGGCTCGGTGCCCCACCCTCCGACATGCACATAAGAAACGGCGAGTGAGCGGGGGCAACAGTATCTGGCAGCAGCTGCAGCCTCCTGGCCCCTTGGCTGGCGCACTCTGGGGCTGCAAACCTTGCACAGCGCAGATGAGTTATCTGTCCAAGCAGCAGGTATAGGCAGATGCACGGGGGAGGGGGGGAGGCAGGCAATCTGGATGTGCCGCGCGGCTGCGGGGCTTGCAGGAGGATTGCGCAGTGGCACTGGCAGTAGATGGAAGCATGAGGGGAGGTAGGTGATCATGCCGCACCATGCAGCCACCTGCCCTGGCATGGCTGTGGCAAGCCAAGAGACAGTGGGACAAAATGGGCGGTGCGTTGGGATTGTCTGCCTCCTCCCTGTGCCTCTGCCTCTGCCTGTTGGTGCCGCTGTGCCAGCCTCCTGTGAGCCAGGCGGCTGTGCAGTGCATCTGGATCGCCTGCCTCCTCCCCGTGCTTCTGCCTCTGCCTGCTTCTGCCCCCGTGCGAGAACGAACCTCCAATGGCTGGTCACCCACTCCAGCCCACTGTCTCTTGGCTTGCCAGTGGCCACACTGGGGCAGACAGCCGTGCAGCACGTCGCGATTGCCTGCCTCCCCCTCACCTCCGCACTCGGACTGACCTGTGCTGCATAGGCTGTGGCTGCTGCCAATCACCGACAGCCCCCCATGCTCGCTGCCTCCTGTACTGGCCATGCCCACCCACCCAGGCTTGTATTAGGAGCATGCTAAAAAAATCAGATTAGGACTTATTTCTGAGTGCGTCTTTTTGGGGGGAAATGGTAGGGACTGACTATACTTGAATCTCAAATCAATATAGGACTTCTCAGTTAAATAGTAATAAAATTCTGCATTCAAAGTTAAAGGTATTACATAATAAAACACAACTATATTTATAGCACTATGTATTAATATTTTTCTGGTGTTCAAAAAACTCTACACTTAGAACTTGCCTAGCTCATATATTACTCTCTCACTTGATAACTTACAGCATAAAAGCGCATATTATGGTATAAAGGACACAGATCCTCCTCCTCCTCCTTGGATAGCTCAAACTGTGTGATGAGCTCATATAATGGGACATATGATGGAGGAGTGTCAAACAACGGGATACCTAGAAATAGAAAGAAAATATTTAAGATTTAACTGAAGAACAGCTGTTATTACATTACAGTTGAGGGAATATTGTATTGTTTAGTGCAATTCTGCAATTATTCCGAAGTAGGGAGGGGAACTTACTGCACTATGGAATTGCCATAATTATCTTCCCAGACACAAGTGTTTAATACATAAATATATTCCCATTTGGCAACTGAAAGTCAAGGATTATATTATTAATTACATAATAAAGCCAACCTAAAAATGAATATGGTCCAAAGAGAGAGTACTACACTTGGGAGATAAGACGGTATAATCATCAAGAGATCTACTACATTAGAAAACTTTTCTTTTTCCAGTCAGTTTTTTCTTTGTTCATCTCCCAACATGTTAACTAAGTATCCTAGCATAATATCTCGGGCTTGAATAGAAGGCTGAAGGTGTATTTGTAGAACTACAGGAAAGCTAAAATAGTTGTGAATAATCCAAATTATATACTTAAAAGCATATATGCCTCTCAGTTTTAGCTAAATTACATGTATGTTTCTACATACATCATCTGCTTGGCATATAAAATTAACATTTTCAAATATTTATAAGTTTTGTTTTGTCCACACAGGAAGAAGAAAAAAAGACAAAATATAGAAAATAGCTATGGATATCTTGTAAGGGCAGGGGAAAATAAGAGGGGAGAACAGAGAAAAAGATGAAGCATATTTATTATCACAAAACTCTGTGTAACCTTACTCTGAGAAGCTAAGCATGATATATTTCCATGATTATTTATAATGACAAAGAAATGACATTTGCTTGGCTTAAAGAAGAGAATTTCAGCAACAGAAATTAGGATTGCTTCTAATTAGATTCATGGAAAATATACAGTCTTGGCTGTGAAAAAGAATAAGAATGCATTTTTTAAAAGCTACTTTGCTGCTATCTAATGACAGATAATACCACTGAAAAAAATTCATTAATGCCCACAAAATTCTTGCAAGAATTTATCAAGTTATCACCGGTGCAGTTCTGAAGTTTCTGAATGAAAGCCTGAGAAACAGGAACAGGTTTTGGAAACTTCAAAAAGAAGCAAGCTGGCAAATCAACACTATTGGCACTGGTAACTGAGGAGAATGAGGGTGTCCTGAAACGAAAGAAAGAAAAATATTTGATAATAATCAGATTTTTTTTTAGTGGCTGAAGGCTACAGGAGAGATAATTACATATGTAGGGAGGATGAAAGGAGAGCTTTAACTTATCTATTTTATTCATTAAAAAGACTATAATGGGAAACGTGCAAAAAAGGGGACCAAAATGACCAGGTTTTATAGAAAATTAGTAAGTATTTAGTGTTGCTTTTTTCTTACCCTTTGTTATCAACAGGATGAGTCCCCATAATCAGAGGGGCAATTGGAAGTTTGTTCATAGTTAAGGTTCCCTCAATTGTAACACACACATTCATGCCTAGGTAACGAGGAACTGAAAGGAAAGGAGAAAAAGGTACAATTTCTCAAACAGTTAATGCTAGATACTGCGTAACTTGTCATTAACATCATTTACTGTTATACAGAAAAGAGATTTGTGAAGGACGTCTTTTGATAAAGGATGGTATTCTTGGGTAAGCAGTGACTTTTAACTTCCCAAAGGCTGCTATATACCAGTTAAAATTTGCCCATTTAATACTGCAGGCAAACTTAAATCCTATGTTCCCCCATGAACTGGAAGTACAATTTCATTTTATCTCAGATTTTTGATGTATGTTCTTTTACCGGAAGCCAGGAGCATGTACACTTAATAAATAATAATATGCCATTTGCCTACTTATTCTCAAAGTTTTAAGCATCATTGGGAAATCTGTAGGCTGTATGGGATTCTCCAATTCTGCTCTTATAACCCAAGACTTTATTTCAAAACCAAACATTCCAGCTATGTCCTTTCCAGGGATCTTATTGTGTCACCTATGCCTTTTAAAGGTATTTATTAGGCTCTGAAAATAGGAATGAATGTCATTGACACATTCCTTCCAGCTTTCAGAGTTTAAGAAAGGAACTCTAAACAGTTTCTCGTACATTAAAGCATACACATCTTTTTGCTTAGGTTAGTATCTGTAATGGAATCAACAATATAGGTGAAGGGAATATGTGTAGGGGTAGCAAGAGATGATGGCAAAATGAAGGGCAATGACTTTTGTTTGGGTCCTGGCCATTTATTCTTTAATAACTGTCCAAATTAACTTGAAAATTAACTGGCAGCAATTTAACATGTAAGATTATTTCATCTAAGATCTTCTTCAATGCCAATATTGTGCTCCATCTCAATATAAATCATGAATTTGACACTGAATGAAGAGATTCAAGATCACTTTTAACTCATAAAGTAAGGAAGCATCTCTGATTTAAAGTCCTCTCTGGGATTCTGTGTGAAAGATATATTTCAGAAGTTCAATTAATTTGTTTGGTAAGGCAATAAGTTGCATTGCAAAAGGGGAAAGGTTTTCACAACCTTTGTTCTCCAAATATTTTGATAGGTAGGTATAGTCCTGTTTAAGAGATCAATGCACCTCTATGGTTGTTGGCACAACCTCTGCTTTTTGGTGAGGCTACAAGGCTATCACTGTATTCACACCTCCTTCTCATCTTAATTTTGTATTCTTACGTGTCTGTATGCTTTGTTTTTGAAAATAATTGGTTAACATTTTTTTTCTCATTTCAATTTAATCCTTTCTCACTTTGTTTATATATTTTTCATTCTCCTTTTCCATCCTCCCATGTCACATTTTTTGTTGGAAGACAGTAATATTTCATTTGTACCTACATTTTATTTAATCACTATTAATTTCTCCAGAATAAGCCCTGTAGAAAATAATTCATCGCTTTCTACTTTTTACCTCCATAAACAATTTTAAATGAAGTATCAATTTTATATCTTCTTGTCTTTTATCCTTTTCAGTGCTCTTCCCATTTCATTTTCATTACATAGCATATGGATGTGTCCAAGTTGTATTGGCAAAGGGTTATGACATAGTTATTGGGTTAGTGATTGTCGCAATCAAAACACCATGCAACTCAAAAACTTGTGAAGTTTTATTAATTTTTTTACACATTATAAATGTGATTAAAGATTTGTGTTTTTCCTCTGCTAGACTATGAGAAAGCAGAGTCTTATTATTCTGAAGATCAGAAATGAGTTGGAACAAGTTATCTCTATGAAGACAGCACAGCAATTCAGGTTATTTCTCAGGTTGAGAATATACTTGTGAACCAGGTAGCATAGTCATTTCACAGCCCCATCATTTAGACCAGGTGTGTCCAACCCATCTCCAATGGTCCTGGTCAGCTAGCAATGTGGTCCCAAAGATCATAAACTATATGATTTATATACATTAACTATATTATAGTTTTATGTATATAAATATGCGGCCCAAGACAATTCCTCTTCACTCAATGTGGCCCAGGCAAGCTGAAAAGTTGGACACCTATGATTTAAACTTGAGTTCCACAATGCATTACCACATTATGCAAGAGGCCTCTACAAGTTTTTTTATTGGAATTCTTTGCTTTAGCTATTCTTTATTAAATATGAATACTGCATATTTAAGTGTTAATCTGCCTTGCTGCTATAAAGGATGTTCAAAAAGAAGATTTAAAACAATCCAGCATACTAGAATGCCTAATTCAGAAGATCAGTGCATGGTTGCAAATACTATCCAAGAATAACGTACCATTATTCTCATTCAGAATGGTGGGAACTCCAGTGCCTTCTTCAAATAAATCATAAGGAGAAACATAATACTTCAGATTCATCAGGTGACCTGAAATAAGCAGATTTGTAATGGAAAAACAAGGAAAGGTGTAAGAAGAGTAAAAATGAAGTCTACATGTTGATCTGAATATATGTTAATCTGTCCAATTAGAGTTATTTATTCAATTTCTATAGCTGCCCATCTCAATTAATGACTCAATTTCAAAAACTATAAAAACAATAAAAATAAAAAGCATTTAAAACAATAAAATTTATGATTTATTTATTTAAAATATGCTCTGTCTTATGTGTTTAGTTATTAAATAAATGTTTGCACTCCTGCACTATTCTCCTGAAGACACATGCTGCCCTAAATAAGTTCCATTATTTGAAATGATAAAATGGATAGTGAAATGGATACCCACCAGGGTTATTCAATACTTTGGAACTAAAGGGGAACAGATGATTTGAAAATTGAAACATAATACTGTCTGCCTTTCTTTGAGAGTAGGGTTGCATGCATGTTTAATAGTATTAATTTTACTATGGTTGCTCTTGCAATCAGCCAGATGTTTACACTGGATTTGGCATTTTTATAGAGTCCTTCCCAAGGAGTGGGCTAGGCAGATGTTGCTTGATGATGTTAAAGGTATTGTCACAGGATGCAAGCTGTTTTTCATTCTACTTCTATTTGCAGGTCTTTGTATTTTGTGATTTTCTGTAGTTCTTTCTCTTCTCTTCTGCTATCTCCAGGTACTGCCAATCCCACTATCCAAATTACTGTTATTGTTAATCCTAGGATCCTGAAGCTGTTGTGGAATCTCAAAAACAGTGCATTTGGCTGCAGGCAAGAACTACATTTGTGCCAGATATAAAGTTTTGTTTGTTTGTTTGTTGTTGTTGTTGTCAGAAACTGAATTTGTTCTGGGGAAAAAATAGCAAGCTGAAGACAGCTCTATGGAAAGGAGAACTAAAAATCAGGGCAGAATGAAGAGGCCATGATTAGACCAGCTCTTTGATAATATTTTCCCTACAAGGAGAGGATTTGAGATTGCTCACAAGTTGGATGCATCTTGTGGGAAGACCACAAGATAGTGGTCTCTGGTGGCTTTAGAGGTCTTAGAGCAAAGGAATAAGCATCTTGGTAAAACCACAGTTAATATCTTGAAAGGACTCTAAGTTCATATACTTCCTTTTCTAATCACTTTTGAAAATTGCTTGTTAACTGATTTTCATCTGTTAGGAACATTGGGATCTTAACTACAAGTTTAAGAACTTAATTCTTTTCTTCGAATAAATAGCAAAAGAGTAATTAGCCCTATTATTTTGGAAAGTGACATAAGGATTAAGGATCTAGATAAATTTGAAAATAAGATTTTGAACCATTTTGTGAGAAGAAGTAAAGAAAAAAATGAAAAGAAATCAAGTTGTACAACTTTATTTGAAGGGTCTAAAGATTAGCGTTGTTATAAATAAAATAAAAGAATATAAATTTGGTTTATTTGATCAAGGTTAAAATAGATATGTTGCTATTTCTGGTAAATCCTAAGGATTGAAATGATGAGGATTTATGAATTCATTTAAGATTGGAAAATAATTTTCTCAAATGTACAGATTGATTATAATATGTAGTTTATGTGCATTTTCTATAGCTTTTTGCTGAACTAGCAGTTTTTATCTGCAGTGCACTATGGATTGAACTGCATTACATGAACTAAGCAAGGCTGACCAGAAAAACAAAACTAGGTAATAGTAATTTCACAATTTGTTTTAAATAATCAGGAATCAACCATTTTAGAAGTTATTTTAAAACAAAAATCATTGCACCATTCATTGGATTATATCTGTCTGTCTGTCTGTCTGTCTGTCTGTCTATCTATCTTATAAATATAAAATATTAGTAGAAAAACACTTCCTACCACCACTTCTAGGGGTGAGATAGCCCACGCTGCCATGCAGAATTTTGTCCAAGGGGCTTGCATTGGTGGCTTGCCTATAGATAGAAAACAAAACCAATTTCTAGATATTCATGATACAAAAGTTGTATGATATGCATGTCAATCAGAAATTAATTCTGTCAAGTTCAACTGCATATAAATTTGGACAGGACTGCAATCTAACCCTTTAAATGAGATCCTCTCCTCTCCTCTCATGAAATCCACGTGGATATACAATCAGGATCACGAGCTATCTATTACTGCATTTGGGAAACAAACTTCCAATTTTGTTTCAGCAACTAAAACAAAATCTTTTAAAACTTTTTTTAAAGACAATCTCACACATCCCCTATTGAAAGCTTTGGAACTCATCTTTTAAACCATATTTGGAATCTTAGATCTATCATACATGTACAGTTCTTTAGAATAATTATATATATGGTAATAACAATAACAAAAAATTACAACTACAATAAATCTTATAAAACAGGATAAGAAATTAATCTAATAAAGAAGAAAGAAGGTTAATAGGAAAAAGGTTTACTAAAAGATGTAGTATGTTGTCAAATTTTCAGGTTATAGTAAACTGGCATTTGCAATTTTCTAAATTCAGATCTAGTGCCTTCTAACAGCAATCACAATGGATCAAGTTGTGGCAGCTTTTCTGGATATTTCTACAGATTGATTTGCTAATAAAAATGCATTTTTTTTCTCTTCAGACCAATAACTCTTCTAGTTAAGAGAGGATTCTGATTTAATTAGAACACCAAGTATAGTATAAGGGTCAGCATAATAAAGACATGGGAGATGGTCTCTATAGCCTTGTCTAAATACAGATATAGGCACTCCTGATGTGGGATGTTACTATACCTTCATCCATTACCATCAAAAATAAAAGACTTAAACCTTATGCAGAACAGAAATAATAATATTGGTGAAATAATATAATGCACAAATATTTTATTTATTCATAGATCAAATAGGATTAAAGCCAGTTCTTTCCAAGCCCACTATTACATTCCCTGGATATTTGTTTTTTGGTTTTTTTTTTTAAAAAAATAGAACTAAATTCTGGGTTCACTATGATAAACTGCTCTTACCAATACATTCCTGCCATCTTTGAAAGATCAAGCTCCAAGGACTGTAGAGCCAAATACATTTTAGTTTTCAATTTGCTGAAAGGCAAAGAGGAAACTTGTTTTAAATGTTTTATATATAAAAAAAGAAATTCCCCACACTACAAGAGCTAGCTAAAGACTTTAGAATCAGACAATGCTTTCAATTCTCTGCCAAGAGAAGATGCTCTACGATGTTTTAGAATGCTAGAACACACACCTCCCATAATTTGTAATGCCATGTTTGCAATCTGCCCTTAGTTGTAGGTGAAATTTCATAAATAAATAAACAAATTTTATATCCAGAGTCCTGCAATTCTCCCTATCATGATATTGTGTTATCCCCTGCTGCAGTCAGTCTCAGCTGAGTCATGACCGAATAGGATAATTATTTATAAAACAGCTTGTAACATGCAAACTACTTTCTAGGATATTAAGAAACTATGACTTAATGGAATACTTACTTGTCACCTGGCAATTTATATAGATTGACAAGACCCTTAAGATGCTTAGAAAATTCATTGAAGTTTCTCTCTCTAGGAAAGAAGAAAATCATTTGAAACCAGCAAGAATATTATTTCTAAAAAGGAAGGGGATAAGTGACAGTTTTGATATTGCTGGCTCTCAATCTTCCTGTGCAGCATCCTGCTTGGAACTATTGTAGCCCAAGTTACCTTAATGTGGTGTATACCTTTCAGAGATATGCAGGCCTTATTGATTAACTGCACTCTTATGTCGCCCATGAATCTTCCAGGATTGTCTTTTACCTCTCTATAGCAGAGGATTTTCTCAAAGCCTCAATTCTTCTTCTTCAAGAAGAAAGAAACATTTATAAAGAGTAATAAAAGAAATAAAAAGACACTTGCATAACTCTACATCCTAGAAGGACATAATAACCCTATTATCCTGTTAGAATGCAGAATTAAGATAGTCTTTTTTTCTTTCAAATTTCCTTATTTTAAATACTGAATTAATATTTCCAGCCTATACTGCACCATTATTCACTTCTATTTATTTGACTCACAGCATAACCCTTTTTGAAGTCCACCAATTTTTCATCACAATTTTCCTATCCACTCCCAATAGTTCTGTGAAACAATACAATGGAGATCAATTTGCCTGAACAAGGCCATGGGTGGCCATCAATTTTAAGTACAGCTTTGGAGCCATGGGAAATCTGATTGCTGGCCAGTCTTAAAGATAAGTAAAGCAGTCTGCATTAGCTAGCTCAGGGATAGGTAACCCAAAACACTCAAAGAGCCACTTGGACCCATTTCCCACCAAAAACAAAACACTGGGAGCTGCAAAACCCTTTTGACATCTAAAATGAAGATAACACTGCATATATCCTTTTTTACCTTTATTATAGGTATATATAAAGGTAAAGGTATATATACACACACATATACATACACACACACACGTATGTGTGTGTGTGTGTATACCTATAATAAAGATAAAAAAGGATATATGCAATGTTATCTTCATTTTAGATGTCAAAAGGGTCTTTCTCTCTCTCTCTCCCTTTCTGCCCTTGGTCTGCCAGTTCTCTTCCCCCACTCAGTGTGTGTGTGTGTGTGTGTGTGTGTGTGTGTGTGTGAGAGAGAGAGAGAGAGAGAGAGAGAGAGAGAGAGAGGCATTTGCACTTCCCCCTCTCTTTCTCTCTCCCTCCCTCTTTTCTCTCTTTCCTCTCCCTCTCTTTCTTCTCCTCTCCCTCTTTCCTCTCCCCCCTTTCTCTCTCTCTCTTTTTTACAGAGAGAGAGAGAGAGAGAGAGAGAGAGAGAGAGAGAGAGAGAGAGAGAGAGAGAGAGAGAGAGAGAGAGAGAGAGAGAGAAGGGAAGCGCTAGTGCCTCTCTCTGTCTCTCTCTGCAAATGGCAGAAGAGGCTGGGAGCCGCAGGAGAAGGCTCAAAGAGCCGCAGGTTGCCGACCTGTGAGCTAGCTTATTCTTTGATTATCTGACTGACAGGGACAAAATCACTGGTTGGCTGTTGTTAATGAGAGCATTTTGCAGAAAATTATTAGAAAGGAATGGAGAGTGTTTGTGTATAAATAAAGGTTTTAAAAAGACTGCCCTCATTTTTAGTATAATCTGTATCATCCTTCCTTCTGATGCCCTATGGATTACAGCATGACCAAACCTGGGTATTTTAAAAGCTTAACCCAGAAGTTGGATTATCTCATCTGAAAGCTGAGTTCAAAAAGCAACTGATAAATTGACCAGCTATTAGGAAACATGCAATTAGGAAAAGATGATGTAGCCAGCAAATATAAGAACATTGTACTGACCTTAGATGGTGTACCAGTTCTGGGCAGCTCTGGAAAAAAGAAAATGGATAATATATAAACTACAAACTATTGGGAGTACAATAGCATGCCCTTTAAAGCAAAACAAATCACATATAGCTTAACATGCACCCCTCCCCATAAAAAAAATCTTTTTTTTAAGTGAAAATTTTGTGATTTCCATGGATATTTTAAAACAAATCTATAACATAAAATGTGAAAATACAAAAGTAAATAGGGGACAACCATAGAAAAAGGGAAAACAAAAAATGTGTAAAGAAGGGGAGGGAAAAAAAAGGCATTGACTTCCAACTCTTTCTGTTGCAATAAAATCAGACATTAAAATCAAATCTCAACTTTTTACATTTCTATAATAGTATGCACTAGCCATTTTTGTATTGGCAAATCAGTCTAATTTGTAAAACCTAAAATCATAATATCATTTTTTTCCACCTCAAACACAAAGTCCAGAAGCGGTTTCCAATTAGAAGCAAGGGTGCTTATATTCTTTTCTTTTATCAGCACAGTCAATTTGGTCCATCTCTGCTAATTCTATCAGCTTTTGTAATCATTCATCCATGGTAGGAATCGAGGCATCCTTCCACTTTTGTGCATAGAGCAAGCTTGCTGCTGTCCCCATGTATAAAATCAGAGTTCCAATTTTCCCCCCCAGTTCTCTTTCCATTAGACCCAGAAGGAAACCTTCTGGTTTAATCTTTATTTTCAAATCTAACTCAAGATGGGGAAAAGTCTGGCAAATACTGATTTAGGATAAATTGAAAAAAATAACTTAGCCATTACACTCTACGTACCACTGGGTTTTCTCCATGATGTGCCACCTTGACATCACGCAGTTGTCCTGTAGTATCCAAGTGGACTTCCACATAGAACATGTCAGATGTTATGTAGCATTCAGTGCCATTTGCACTAAGATGAGATCCAAGACTTTGGAAAGGGGAAAATTATAAATTTTTAAAAAATATTATAAGATTATATAACTTTATCACATTTTATTAGGTATACTTATGCTTGCTAGTATATTTACTCATATTTCTTCATCAACTCCTTAACTTATAGCAAAGATATACCAAGCTAGAATAGCTTCTCATACCAAGTGCCACCCATTCAACTTTTCACTTTTATTTCCTCAAAACAATGTTAAACTATTATGAAAATATATAAAAGTATAATTAACATAGTGCTGGCCAAAGAGAGCTATAAAAGCTAAGGAGTGGTTTGACATTAGAATAGAATTATTTCAAGCTTGCTTTCAAATATAATGATGAATGTTTAAGAACTACTCTACTTCCATCAATTTATAGAAAATTATATTTTAATCCGCTCATAAAATAATTAATCCAATTCAGATCACAGAGAGCCACAGTAACAAGGTATGCACTGCACTATGGTCCTTAAAAACAATTGAGATGGGAGCTTGGATCAAGGCCATTTGATAGACTCCATGTACTGTATAACCAAAGGAAACTATATTTCCTGCAAAAGAATTGAAGTTGAAACGGCTTAGCAGTAGAAATATGTGCTTTTGTAGTATATCAAATAGACAATTAGATTAGCATGATTCTTTGAAATTAACTAGGTAAAACCTATAAAAGAACTAAACAACTCACCCATTTTGTCTAGCAATGGACTCTAAGCGATCTGTCATAGCAGGCAGAGATGATACTAGGAAGAAGACAGTTTAATTAGATCCAGTCCTCTGTCAACTTTATATATCTTTCTTCATATAAAGGGTGAGTTGAATGTTTACTTTTTAGTCTAAGTTTTACTATTTCTTCTATGTGGCATTAAGTTTTACTATTTTTCCTATGACGGTTCATCCAAAAGACTTGGGGTAAGATGGACTAAGGATGTCTTATTTTTCCAAAGCAAAAGACTGGTAAGAGACAACAAAACATGGTAACAGCAGCACTATGCACTTATAGCCTATTATGGTTATTAAGCAAGAAGTAGGAATGAAACAGAAAAAACCACGCCGATGAAAACAGCAGAATCTTGTGATTTTCCATTCAACAACTTTTCTGGACTGCTTTTTTCTTTAGCCGCATGTGAACAGCCAAAATGGTTGAAAGAAAAGCAGAGAAACATGGTAAGTGGATTTCTGTATGTCTGATTCAAGTATCCTATTTCAACATCATAACTTATTTTAAGCAGTTTAGTTTATTATACATAAATGTATGCTATATAACATTAACTTCATTGATGTTGATATGCATCATTCCAAATCAATTTCATCATTTTAATAAATCAGGAAACAGAGTCCAATTAATATGCTGTATTTGAACTAAATCTATATCCTCAAACCAGATTTGGAGTAAGACACTACTACAGCTCTCTGAATTTGTTGGTCAAACATAAAAAGCTACTTATGAAATTCTTTAGTTCCAAATAGAAGTGAACCAAGAAGTATACTTTTCCCCCAATTCCAAACAGAAGAAAAATAGCCCTATTGTTTTAACTCTATGCTTCTTGATGCAAAAAAGTCTTTGACCTCTTCTCTAACTGTGCTATGCAGGATACAGCTGAGTGCATAGGCTTAACTTTGCACCTATTAACCAGCTGAAGCTCTAACTGGCAGCAGGCACAGAAGCAAGAGAACCAAACATGCCTCTGCCACTGCTTGCTGGTTCTGAGTGGAGAGAAAAAGAAAAATCACTACTGCTTGTTCCCAAACTCACGTAGCATTACAAAGATGCAGCAAAAGCACTGATACATTAGGAATGTGGCATTTTGTACATTAATATGCAAAAGATGCCTACTGATTAACTGATACAGATTGCAGTAAATCATTATGTACATCAGTTTTACAATCAATCTATAAATCCTTAGGAATATTATATAAAAGCACTGTTACAAAAAAAGAGTCAATAAATACTCTGTGAGTTTCTTTTGAATAAATGCTGTAAACAAAACATTAAAACTATAAAAATGTTCTTAATGGCAATTCCTATAAACCGATGAGTATTTCCTTTACAAAAAATAAATATTTATTATATATGTTTTTGACACAAAGACCAACCTTTTAAAGCCTTCTGCAAAGTTTCCAAGCAAGTGACAAGATTCTGGTGACCTCCAGAATTCATGATAACTCGTTTTTCCTACATTCAAAAGAAATAGGAGAAAGTATTTCATGCCACATTTAATAATAAAATGAAAGAGAAGTAACAACTAAGATATTAATACACTTAATATATATATTCTACAGCTATAGAAAAAGGAGATTTGAACAAGCTGTCTTTTATCATCACAAAAACAAACAAGAACAAAAATATGTATTATACCAACACAGTAGACTGAAGATAGTTTACAATTGAATTGTCTTATGAATGATAGATTGTGACAACTGTTATTCAAACTTAAATTAGTTCTAATTACCAGTAGTATTTCGTAAGATCTGAGACAGTTGTTCAATAAGACAACCAATAGTCCAATTTCTTGGCTATTTTCCATGTCTGCCAATTTTTCTTTAGATATGTTCTAAAATGTATATTCTCCATTCACATGGGATAGCAAAAGCCTAAAAATAATTTAATTTAAAGTCTATTAATACTTACCATAACTTGTCTAACAAGCTTCATGGTTTCTGTCCAAGGTCTGCTGTTGGGATTAAACTTGACATGAAGTCTTTCCAGAAGGGAACTCATCTTATTCAGTTTCTCTGATTCTATAGGCAAAATCACAAGTCAGTCATGTGTAATTTATTTTTATTTTTCACCAAAGCTTTGGCAAGGGAGAGTAAGAACCCTCACTTCATTACACTTGTCATCTTTTATCTTTTAACTGATCTTATTGTAATTTCTTTGATTGCTGTGAGCTACCCAAAGTTGTTGAGATTTGGGAGGTATCCAAGTTTTACAAGTTATTATTATTGAACCTCAGATTAGAAAATTAGATTCAGGTTTTCTGCACAGAAAAACACTTGCTGAAGATGACCACGACCTATATAATTCAATGTTCATGTTAAGTTGTGGATATACATATTTTTTTCCTATTCCTCATTTACAGATGTAGATGGGCTGACTAACAAATAAATCATTGTTCTACAAAGTTTATTTTGTTAGGCAAAGAGCATCATATGAATCATCACCAATCGTAAGTGAACAAGTATATACCTATGAAGAAAATTAACAGCACTTATTTTATCATTAATTCTCAATATTGTATTAATGAAAGATAAAGTTTTCTGAGCTAATAATGACCTCAAAAGATCAGATTGAAAGAAAGGCAAATCAAGTCTCAATTGATATCTTTGAAATTTCTTCCCACAGATCTATTACTTCCCTATAATATTTCAGAAGATCAAGACCTTGTTATCTTCTACATGTTGCAGGGGAAAATTCAAAATGGTGGGTAAACTTTTCAGAAGAAAATTTCTTCCACAGATTTCATCATAATGCAATTCTGCAGAGGAGGTATGTGTTTATAACTTCAGCAGACAATACCATAGCTAAAATTATTCAATATGCATCATTAGTTGTACATTATTTATCTTTCCGCCTGGAAAGAAATATTTCAAATTCCTAGCAAATTCTAGAAAGCAAATTTGCTAACAGCAAATTTCTAATTATCGTACATAGCTGCAAAATGAACTATATCTTTTCTATCTACTAAAACTCTATAGCCTTCAATTCCAAAATGATACATCATAGTGCAAAAAGTTTTTGAGTTAAGTACCTAAAATCCATTAAAGAAGTGTACAAAATCAAAGACCCATTATTTTCATATGATTGAAATTTAAAGGATCTTCACACCAGTTATATTAGCAATCCTATGGCTGCTGCAGCACAGTCAAGTGATCGTGAATTTTGACACTCCCTGCCAGCTTTCCACAAGGGAGCTCCTGCTCTCACTGCTTTTTTGTCCATTCTGTTTCTCTATTTGGATAAGAAAATACTTTTGAAAAGATGTCCAACAGCCATGGGTTGTCCAATTTCTGCTAGAATCCTACATTCTAATTGTCAGATTGACTTGGATATTACATCACTTAAAATCCATCACACATATAATTCTTGGACACCAAATTGAAGATATTTTGTTGTCCATTTCATTTTAAGTTGTTTATAATCAAGCAATTAGTTCATCTACTAGATATTAATTAGCACCTGCTTTCTATACAAGCTGATAACTGTTTCTCTCTCCAGCTTTCACCCAACTGAATTTTCCTTTAGAACATTCCACTACAGGTAGCCCTCGACTTACAACAATTTTTTTAGTGACCAAAGTTTCAACAGCACTGAAAAAAGTGACTTATGACTGTTTTTTATATAACCATTGCAGCATTCTCATGGTCACGATAAAAATGCAGATGCTTAACATCTGGAATGTACGATGTTGCATGTTCCTGGATCACGTGAACAACTTTTGTGACCTTCTGACATGAAAAATGGGAAAGCCAGATTCACTTAACATGTTACTACCTTAACAACTGCAATGATTCACTTAACAACTGTGGCCAGAAACATAATAAAATGGGGCAAAACTTACTTAAGAACTGTGTTGCTTAGCAATGGAAATTTTGGGCTCAATTGTGGTTGTAAGTCAAGGACTATCTGTGCTCCACAGCTGGGCAGTCTGTGCCAACTCCCCCACTCAAAAATCAAATCACAATACAGTACCAGGCAAAATAGATGATAGAATGGACTCAGTTTATTCAGAACAGGGGGCAGAGGAGGAAATAACAAACACTGTATTAGAATCTGCTACATAGGCTTCAAAATATTTTGGGAGATATAAAGACACAGTGACAGATTTCCCTATTTTAATTAAGCCAACTGATTCTTTCCTCTCTTTTCTCTCCATCTGCTTGGATACTTAATATTCAATATTATGGACAGGTCTGAAATATGTGAATCTTGGATTTTTATTAATGCATAACTATCCCATTACAAAATTCTTTACCAGCCAAATCATATGATATATTTACAGAATAGGAAACAGGGGAAAAAGGAAGCAACAAACAGGAATATTTAAATAGAAGGTAGGAGGAGCTAGTTGAAAATGTTTCTCCTTCAAAACACTTTAAAATATGGAGTCAGGTATAAACATTAACACACAAAGAATGATCCCAATTTCCCATCCATTTTCCAAATAAAAAGAAATCATACAGCAGTGGCCAAAATTGTGGAAACCTTTTTGGGAAAAGTGTATTTTTGAGATTTGATGGCAAATAACACTTTTTTTGGAGTAGTACCCTAAAATTATATATCAATGGAAAGATAATTTAATCAAGAATGTAATGCAACATAGTTTGTTCAATTATCTGTATTGTATTCTATGAAAGGTTATAGCCAAATAACCAGAAAAACACAACTTGCTTAGGTTATCAGGTAGCTTTCCTTCATCTGATTGTAGCCAATGAGCATGAATGTTTAGAGAGCCAATCAGGTGCCATCTTGTTTTAGCAATGAGCCAATCAGATCACAGTAGGATTCAGTTACTGATGTCATGTATTGAAGCTGAGGACATTTGACAGTGTGTTATGTGATCACTATCAAGTTGGTTGGGATTTTTTTCATTTATTGAGCTTGTAAAATGTAATAAAATTACAGTAATGGTGCAAAGAGTTGACTGGTTGCCCAGAAAGCGATGTAAAATAGTATTATTAAGTGAACATGGCTAGTTATAAAGAAATTAGAAGAAAAATTGGTAGAAACTTAACCAAATATGCATTTCTACTATACACTTTTCCTAAAAGGTTTCCACAATTTTGGCCACTGCTGTAGGGTTAGAAGTAAAATTATCTAGCCCAACCCTTGTTCAAGTGCACCATCTCTGAACTAGAACTACAACTGCCTCCATTCCAAGACAGAGAAGATCCCATCACTTTATGAGAAAGTTAGTTCCAATATTTGACATCTCTTACAGTCAGCAATTTCTCTTGATATGTATTCTGAACTCTTTCCTTGAAATTTTAAATTTTTGGTTCTGCTCCTTTTTCTCCATGGCAATTCTTCAAATATTTGAAGGCTGTTTTCCTAACTCCTCTAAGTCATCTTTTAAGATAAACATTCTCTAACGCTTTTTCATAAAGCTTGGACTCCAGACCCCTCACTACCTTGACAACCCTCTTCAAACTTGTTTTAATTTGTCACTGTCTTTTTGAATTGTAGTGCCTCAAAATGGACACCAGATTCCAACAGAGGCCTGATTAGGGCAATGGCTGTTAACGTGTTACCAACTGTCTTTTCAGCAGCTGCCCTCAGGCTGGCGCTCATGCCCAAATCGCTTTTATATAATGCTGCCAAACGAAATCTCCTTTGTGTTTTCTTCCGCTCTTTTTTCTCACGCGCCTCTCAATACCACAACTACCAATTTTCTACAAAAGCATCTTCTTGTAACTCTATCCGAAATTGTCAAAATTTCCTAGAACTTGCCTTTCCGAAACCCCCAAAATCGACCCCTCCTGCACGATTATTGCGATTACTATCGCTGCATCGGCAATCCCCTATTGAGCACTTGGTAAAGGGATGTTCCCATCTGATCAGAGAGCCTTCATGACTCCTACATTGCAGGATAATTCTGACTGCCGACGGTTCGGCAGTTCGAGTTTCACCGGCTCAAGATTGATTCAGCCTTCCATCCTTTCGAGATCGGTAAAAATGAGGACCCAGATTGTTGGGGGCAATAGGCTGACTCTGTAAACCGCTTAGAGAGGGCTGTAAAAGCACTATGGAGCATTATATAAATCTTAAGTGCTGTTGCTATTGCTACATCCCTAAAGATTCTGCCAGGAGAAAGCGAGCAAGCACTTTTTTGCAGCCCGAAGCCCTATCACTCACCCTCGGTGTTGCTCTGGACTGCCTTCATCCTTCCGATGATGGTGGGGGGAAAGGGGGTAGGTGACCCTGCTGCTTTCCCTCATGTAGACGCCTCGAGCTGCCCCAGCCAGACCCCTCTCCCGTGGTAAAAAAGGGGCGGGCCCGGCAAAAGCAGCCTCCCTCAATCCCGGCGGCTATTGCAAAGCAACCCCCATTCCGCCACCCCAGACCTCCCTGCTCCTCCTCTCCGGGCTCGAAACATGACAAATGTAGAACAGGAAGTCGTGCGAGAATCCCGGGCGGCAGCCAATGCAACAGCAGGAAGGCCAGTAATTCTCGCGAGATTTGAAATCGTCTCTGCCTCCCTCTCCCCCTAGCTGTCCTATCAAATTCTTCTTTAACCCCCAGAGTAGATGGCAGCCTTTTTTTCAGCTGTTTTCAAGTAAAGAATGCTTTCCCATAAAGTGTCATTCTTTTTCCCTCACATCTGATGCTGGCAGGATGTCGTTTCCAGGTTGCTTAATAAGTATTGATAGAAAAAGAGCAAGCGGGGACGCCATTTCTAAATCAATTTGTTTTTATTCCCCAGGAAATTCGTCACGTTTTTGTGAAAAAACAACAAAAATATCCGCAGCTGCCTTTTGATAAGGTTTAATATATTTCATAGCAGGGAATTAGAACGATCGAGGATCGCACAAAAGCGTTACAATGCTACATTTTTTCCCACTATTGAGAGAAAAAAATGACTGCCGGAAAGCAAACTCCCTTTTCTTTTTTTCGGTCTTGTAGGTTTTTCAAAAATAAACGTTTAATTAAGAAGAATGCATTTTAGTCTTCTAAATTCCTTGTGTATCCAACGACACTCAGCCAATAAAGAACTCTAATAGGCCGTCTACGCTTTGAGGAAAAAAAAAATAAGCCCAGATCCCGCGAGATTATGGCATCAAACCTCGTAAAAACCCCACAGGTCAGAAACCGGGATAACCTATTTTCCGTCCCATCACTGATCTCTAGGCAGGAATCGCGAGACTTCGCAAAGCTCGGGCTGTGCGGGAGCGCGTGCGCCTGCGTAGGAGCATATGTACGCGCACGCACGTGCGTGTTCTCGCGGTATTTAGAGAAATAGGAGCAGGTAGAGAGGAGTTGCGGGAAAGGAACCTCCGAGATATACCCAGAGAAGTCACGGCGTCGGCAGCACGGAGGACGACAACCGTATTCTCGCGAGAATTGGTGGCTAACCTTCTTCCCTCCTCGCTCTCCTACCTTCCTCTCCCCTCCCCCTCCCCCCCAATCTGGAAGGAGCGCCGTTTCGGTCTGGGAAGTAGGTGGAAAAAGATGGGAATCTTGACTTGGGGAACTCATTAGAGATTTAGATTGAGGAAGGAGGTGTCCCCTTAGTAGAGGTTCTTGGGTTGGTCCCGGGCCTGCGGGATTTACTCAGTGAGCGAGGCCCCGGGGCGGGCTGGAAGTGTAGAGAGTAACCCCCTCAGGAAGTTAAGGAAATAGCAGATAAATTCAGTCCCCACTTTCATTTTGTAGGGACGTGGGACCTTAGTTAGTGGCAAGGCAACCTGGAGCCAAGGTTTGCTTAAGTACTTTGAGAGACTACTCTTAGGGGACCCCTTTTTCAAAAACCGTAAAGTGACTAGTATCTTTGCAGAACTTTACTTTTTCTTTTTCTTTCTTTTTTGGCGTTTGTAACGTTCAGCGTCTTACCTACTTTCAAACTAGGGGTTTTGCGTTTTTTTTTTACCCCTTTAATCAACCATTTTGAGCAATTAGCACCGTAAAAGTAGGAGTTAATTGAGACTTGGAGTTAAGGAAGAGCAGGTGCTTACTCAGGGTTTAAAACACCGTCTCTTCCCTTCCTACATGTGAAGTGTGAGATCAGGATATTTTGATATTTTTCTCCAGGTGAAAGGTGGTTCAACTCAGTTTCAAATCTATTTCTGAGGCAGCTTTATCTTACAATATTCCGCATGTAATTGCAGAATCAGGTATTCATAAAGCAGCCAAATTTATCCTCATGTAAAGAGAAGGGTGGGTTGAATGTAGGACATAGGTAACAAAAAAAAAAGTGGCCCTTCCATCGTAGGGGGGGAGGCTTGAAGAGTAGAATTTGGGCTTTTTGGAGGATTCCTCCCTCTTTTCAAGCACAGTGGAGAAGGAATGCCAAACCCAGAGAGACATGGGGGAAAGAAGGATACGGGAGGTGGGGGGTCTTTGCATCAAGATGCAGTGTCCAGCAGTGGGAGCTCAAACAGCAGAGAAAGGCATCGACTTTCCAAGCATAAAAGACACAGATCCAGGCATTCCAAAGATTCGCCGTTGGGGTCCCAAGAAGGAGGAGCACCTCTTGGCAGCATGATCAAACCATTGGTAGAATATGATGATATCAGCTCTGATTCTGACACTTTCTCAGATGAAGCCGTCCTCAAGTTGGAACATAGAGAAAATGATGAGAGGAAAGGGACATCAGACAAGAGTGATCGACTACATAGACGTCATCATCAACACAGGCGTGTCCGTGAGTTGATAAAAAGTAAACTGGGAGACAAGGAGAAGAGAATGGAGAAAAACCAAGAGTCCTCAGGCAAGTTGAGTTCTAGTAAAGATAGACTATCTGGTACTTCCAAAAGGGTTCATGAGGAGAATGATGACCATTCATCTAAATCATTCAAGAGCAGTAGCAAAGAGTCCCGTTCAGCCAAACTGCATAAGGAGAAGTCTAGGAAAGAACGGGAGGCAAAATCTGGTCACAAGGATCACAGTAAAAGTCATCGGAAAAGAGATGCCCCCAAAAGTTACAAGTCATTGGACAGTCCAAAGCGGAAATCCAGAAGTCCACACCGTAAGTGGTCAGATAGTCCCAAACAAGATGACAGTCCTTCAGGAGCATCCTACACACAGGACTATGAAAACAGCCCTCCACGGTCACATACATCCAGTAACTATGATTCATATAAGAAGAGTCCTAGTGTATCCTCACGACGACCATCAGTCAGCCCTCCATATAAGGAACCTGCTGCCTACCAATCCAGTATGCGTTCTCCCAGCCCTTATGGCAAGAGACAGCAGTCAGTCAGTCCATACAACAGGAGGCGTTCATCCAGCTATGAAAGAGGGAGTGGATCATATAGTGGAAGATCTCCCAGCCCATTCAATCGAAGGCGCTCCAGCAGTCCTTTTGTTTCCAAGCGGTCTCTGAGCCGTAGTCCTGTTTCCAGGTATTATTATTCATCATTGAGCCTCTTAAGTACAATGTAACTAAAGGGGCTAATGTCCCAGAATCATTGTTATTGTTTCTTAGAACAGAAAATATTTTATACTTCTCTGATTCATTAGGGTTACCTTTCCCATCATGATGCGTCCCTATGTGTTGGATTATAACATTTTTAAGGTAGCATGCTTATGCTAGTGAGAGTGGAGTTGGAGTAACACAAATGGGTCCAATATTGTTGTATCCTAAGTAATAGGTTCTATCTTATTTATGTGGAGAATGAAGTTGAAAAGAAGCCAGGTCAGCCAGTATGACACTGAACTGGTGGGATATCATGCTAAACAATGATATGAAATAGAATCATATAGTGCCAGTGAGCACTGGTCTTGCATGTTTTTCAACATAGCTTTGGTTTAATTTGTCATGTCATCAAAACTTGGCAAACTAGAATCGATGATCAAATTATGATTGGCATGAACTACAGATCATTAAAGATGAACGGCACTACATTATAGTTAATGCAGATGGATAGTTTCTGTGTCAGGTGTGTAAATGAGAAACACAGCTGCCAGGATTTATTGTTTTTTGTTTTCATTGTGTCAGATGTAGTATAAACTCAGACATTTCTGAAAACTAAAACTAAATCTATACTCATATATATTGTGGTTTTTCAGTTTTTATAAAATTAAAAAACTGGAAGAGGTGGCAGGATGGGCTTACTAAATATGTAAACTTCGGTGTTGCAAAGAACTTCTTTAGCAAATTGAACTTGATTCAAAGAAAATGAAGTACATTTAAATTTATATCATTTAAGTATATAGCATGGAAGTTTCAGGTTTTATCAGCCTTCATTGTATTGTATTCTCTTAATTTTTTGCTAGTAACAAAATGGGTTAATTGCAGTGACTTTCCATCTAGTCAATGCTTGGATAGTTTTATCACAATTATTTTACTGGACCTTTCTTAAATGGGGATAGACATTTTTTTGGTACACTTTTAGATAAACAACAATTATATGCTCAAAAATCACCTTTGATTTCAGCTTCTAATCTTTATGAATACCATAAGGCACTGATGGCGAACCTTTTAGAGACCGAGTGCCCAAACTGCAACCCAAAGCCCACTTATCTATCGACGGGTGCCGGGTGGGCGTGGCCCATTGGGTGGGCATGGCTGCGGTGGTAACGGCAGACTGGGTGGGACTAAAAAGTTCGATCAATCAATTCCAACTTTGCGAGATCTTTTTTTTCCTGCGAGAAGTTGAAATTGATTGATTGAACCTTTTTTTTTGCACATGGCGGTGGAGGCCTAAAGCAAAAAGCTTTTATAAAACCCAGCTGAAGGCCTAGACAGCACGCGTGCCCACAGAGAGGGCTCTGAGTGCCGCCTCTGGCACACATGCCATAGGTTCGCCACCGCATAAGGGAAGTCAGTATAGGTAAAATGTGTTCATATTATTCCTTTGAACTGTAATTTTAACAACTAATTATTGAAACCTAAAGGCAGAAAGGAACTTTGAAAAGACCACTTTCCTAGCAACATTTATTATTGATTCTAAACTTTATACTGTTCCTCTTTAAATAAGATTTCATTTTGCTAATAGTTTGGAAGATATTACTCTCTCTTAATAATGTAAATATAGGAAACTGCTAATAACTGATTATCACCAGTTAACATTTCCATGGATAATTTTTTATAATTTCTTGTTAACATTTTTTAATGCAGAACCTTGGCATTCAAGTATGAACTCATTATGTTCAGTGATGCAACTAGCATTCTGGCAATGCTAAACAACAGTCTTGTCACATTGTTTTAAACATTCACAGAACTCTCCTCTTCCTGTTGTGAATTCTGGATGGTCTTCATGAAGTGTGACTCTCACAACTCCATTCTCTCTACAGTGAGATATTAATGAACATGAGAGAAAGTATATAATAGTTAACATAAGACATTTTATATGGAGTAAATGTTGTGAAACAAATATTACTAGGCAAGCTTCCCACCAAGTGTGATAGGAAAAAATGT